AAGTTCTTGATGCCATTTTCCTGTCCAAGCTGTGGGATATTCATATCGAAGCGAGGATGCTCCGTCATGTGGTCCGGAGGTGGAGCAAAGCTACTCACACCTTTGTATGCTCGTGGGGAGAGTTTACCCCGACTCTCGAGGACGTAGCCAACATAATTCGCCTCCCCGTCTGCGGTAATCGGAGTCCTTTTGATATTGCCCTTACTCCGGCAGAGATAGGCATTCTTGCAGTCCTACGAAAGGGCGCTCCTACTTCTCCCAGCACCTCACTTCGCTTCAGCAACTGGATACAGTACTTTGGTGATGTGAATAAGCGAGGGCCTTGGCGGCTGGCTGCGTTTATATCACTGTGGCTTGGGCGTTTTGTCCTTTGTGATTTTTCCCAGGACTGCCTACACGAGCGAGTATTCCCTTTGTCTTTGGCTATCGCTCGGGGTGACTCAATTCCTTTAGCCCCCGTGTTCTTAGGGCACTTGTATGGGTTGCTTGATCAGTGCCAAATTTTGGAGAAAAATGCAGCGGGAACCATGGGCGTGGAGACTATTCTGAATTCCGGCTTTTTGCAAGTGTTTCTGTGGGAGCACCTCAAGGGGCTGGATGTGTGCCCACTCCCTTATTCACGTGCTCTGCAGTCTGCCGACACGGGCAATGGTTCTTTTATGCCGGACAGTCTCCCTCTTGTCTGCAGGTGGTTCAAGCAGGTGCAGAGGAAAGGCCAGGATTTTCTAAAGTTGCTAGATGATATCGAGTACTTCATCTTTCGCCCGTACGGCATTTCAGCGGAAACCTTCACTTTCGTGCCCTTTTATGCTGATGTTGATGACATTGTTGAGGTTCCAGCCGTGATGTCTCAAGGCTGCAGTTTCAGAAGATATTCCTTGTTGAATGCCGCATGCCTCCCACTGCCCACTTTAGGCGACAACCGCTCGGAAGTCTCCGCGACTTACTCACCCCACCGGGTCAGACGACAGCTTGGACTTGACCAAGGCGTGCCACACGATCCTAGCCACGGTGACCCCTTCCTACTTCATAGGGCCTTTTGGAGCAACCGCAACATACCGGACAACATTAGGCCCCCCTTCCTAGCCGGCAAGAGAAGAATTGGTGGTTTCTCTCCCGGATATCAAGCCTACTGGAACCGCTGCCTTGCTTCCATGCGCGAGTTCCAGTCCTCCCCCTGTGGCAAATTGCCTCCGACTACCGCTCGCCTTGTTGGTCTAGTATCGGAAGAGAAAGCAATCCCCTTGAGCGTGAAACGCAACCTGCCATTTATTTCTAAAAGTGGCGACATTGTCGAGGAGTTCTCCAAGTCAAAGCAAAAACCGGGAGCACAGAGCCCCTGCAGTTCTGGAAAAAGGGCAACACCGGTATCAGGTAAACAAAAACGGGAGGAGAAGCCAAGCGCGAAGAAGGAGCAGACCGCAAGTAAACCTAAAAGGTTCATCCCAAAGGTGGCATCGAGTGGCCCTCCCCGAGCTAAAGAAGTAACTCCCCCAGCGTGTTCACAGCCTTCGAAACCTGTTGCATCCGAGAGCCAGGGCCGCACCGGCAAGGCGCTGGAGACCATCCCTCTCTGCAGTAAGTGCCGACCACTTTCTTCTGCCTGCCTTGCCTTCTTCTTTTTTATTTATTTATTTATTCATCTAAAGTTCCCTCTTTTCTCTTCCCAAGAAAAAATGGGCGCCACCCCGAAGAGGAAAAGAGGCGATGCAGCTCCTGTGAGTCCCGACGTGGCTCTGAAACGTCGTAGCATGCGTATCCTACATGCACGGTTTACCAGGGCTCGTACAAGTGATAGTGAGGCTTCTGGAGATGAGGCTGTGGTGACCATTGATGATGATAGTGATGGCGATGATGCCATCGAGACTGAGGCTAGTGTTCCTGAGCGAGAGGACGTGTGTGGCATTGGCGGCACTTGCGAGGATTCTGGTGAGGGTGATTACCACAATCATGCTGGGGATGCATTTGTACATTCCAGCAGCTTCCCGGAACAGCAAGGTGGCTCGGCTGTTTTCACAAATAGCAATGCGCGTCGCATCAACATTGAATCGGTATCCATCTCATGCCCTGTTTTGCTTTTGTTTCTTCGTTCCGTGAGCAGCTTATTTACCCTTTGCCTTCACTTTGCAGATTGTCGATGTTACTGATGACCAAAACCTTGCTGCTGCTGTTGCTGATTCTGTACAGAGTACCCAAGAGGTATCCATTGTTTGCTTTGCTTACATATTCTTTTCCTATTTCCATTCTTCTTTAGTCGGGCAATCCTTCTCTTGCCTTCTAATTATGCACATGACGTAGCTCGCTAAATGCCTCATTCTTATCTTGCTTACTCTTTTTCTTTCCCTTTTTTTTTTAAAAAAAAAAAAAAAAAAATTTAGGCTGGGCATGTTGCTCATGGTATGGCAATTGTGCCTGTGGTACCTTCTTCCTCCAGCACATTCGATTCACTGGTCGAAGCGGCCCTTGCCGAGTCCTCTTCTACCATAGTACCAGCAAGCTCTCCAGACAAAGCATCTATGTCCCAGGCTGCGAGTCCATTGTCGCCCATCATCCAGCACCTCCTTCGAAGGAACCTAGAGCCCGACCTCTCACCCACTCTTCCAGCAGCTCTCCAGAGTAAGACGTTTACTTTTCATGGTACACCGCCCGCTTCATCCCACATTCAACCGCTTCTTCGAATACCGGGCTCGAGCTCTCCAGCACCTCTTCCGTTGGTTCCATTTGATAATGCTATTACTGATGAGGAAGTCTTGGCTAAGGATATTGTTACAGAGATCATTCCTGCAGGGTACTCATCTAACACGTCTTGGCAAGAGTGGGAACGGTCCTTTATTACATTTAGGGCCTTCTTTGATAGTGGAGCCCAGGTCCTTCGATCTGCAGATGAGCTGCTGCCGCTTTGTCATCAATTTACTGGCTATGCAATGTTTCGGGGAGCTCTTGTTTATCCCGAGATAGTTGCGGCTTTGGAGAAATTCATAGACAAATACGGAGACTTCATGGATGGTACCAGCATCACCTCCTTCTTTTCGCGGTGCGCTGCCTTCCGGACTCTTGGCCAAGTGCTTCTCGGAATGGATACCATGCAATTGCTGGATATTACGGACCACAAACTTCTTTGCTGGCGGGATGCAATTTGTGAAGCCATGACCTTGGGCTTTCGGGTAGATTTCCTTCTGAGCTTGGTGCGAGATTTGGCACGTGCGGTCTTCGGGGCACGGGCTGTTCATAGCATGGAGTTATCTTCCAGTCATGATGAAATAAGAGCAGCGGCAGAGGCCCTGAGTCTTAAGCAACGTGAGCTGGAAGATCAGCATGGGGAACTGCGCGCCCTCCTTCTCACCCAAGGTGTTTCCGCCGATGGTGCTGGCTGCGTGGCAGAGACAATAACCAGATCCTCCTGCAAGGCTTCTGCTGTCCTTTTTTAGCTGCATCCGATGGTTTTGAGGTTCGTGACTCTTCATCCCTTCTTATTCATGCTCCTTCTTTAGCAGTCTTGCTTCGTACCAGCTTATTTCCTTCTAACATTCGTCCTTACGTTGTCTCGCAGGTTACTCTTTTGCTTGGTGTAAAGCTAGCTGGCCTGACACATCGAAGAACACACTAGTTTTTTTGACTTGTATAACTTGGCTTTGCCTAGGTTGTGTTCCCTTTAGATGTCCTAACACCTGTACTGTGAAATCCTTGTATTGTAACGCTGTTGTGATCAAGCTGCTGGAACCTACGTTTTATTTTCTTTTGGATGCTGGAGACACATTGTAACCTCTGTTTGGTATATATATATATATGCTGCCTGGTTGGTGGAATTTGTGCTTGCGAATTGCTTGAGATCATTTGAGATTTTCTGACAGGTTGGATATCTTTAAAAACGGAGCATATGCTGTCAAAATTTTGGTAGAATTCCCAAATTTTATTTGCATGGCTTGCCTAACTACTAAGCTTGAAAAACACCTTCTCATCATGCTTTGAAGGGACCAGATTTAGTGCACTTGATTTTCATCATGATTTTTGTAAAAATTCCCAGATATCTCGCATATCCCAATTGTTTGCCAAAAGAGAATCATGATTTCGTTGTTCCAGCATCTCAAGAACGCATGTCTTGTTTGCAATAGCTTGGCTTCACTTAGTGATGTTATTTTGCTTGGGCTTGATAGTTCGGGATCCCATCCAAGTAGCTTTGCTTGGCATGTCTTACTGCTAAGTAGCATGTTTTTATCAATTTTTTTTTTACGTACATATATACAGTGGTTGGTGCAAAGTAAGTTTGGGATACATAAAATAATATTTCAGAGGCAAGTTTTCTTTTTCAAAATACTCCTTCATTTTCATTGCAAAGTTCATGCTACCATAGTGGTGCATCGTACAATAATTTTCAAAATACCAAGTGAGACCATAGAAGGAGTTCATATTTGAAATGAAAAGAAATGCCATAACGAAAGTGCAGAATATAAAACTAACTTAGCAGTAGTACAGTTTGAGCCACTTCCCGTTGATGGGATCCGTTAGCATGCCTTCTTTGACAGAGATCAAGCGATAATAGTCGCTGCTGTAAACTTCTTTGACTGCGAATGGCCCTTCCCATTGCGGAGCAAATTTGGAAGGCCCCGATACTTGTCTCCTCACATGCTCGACGACCTTTAGCACGAGGTCCCCTTGCTTGAAGGCTTGCGGCTTGACTGTTCTGTTGTAAGCTTGTGCAATGGTTTTGTGGGAAAGCGATGTTCTTCTTTCGGCTTCAGCTCTTTTTTCATCGACCGCTTCGAGGTCTAATAGGCGCCAATCTGAGCATGTCTTCATACCCCATTCGAGATCATTGACAGCCGATACTCTGGCCGTGGGGATGGTGATTTCTACGGGTGAAATGGCATCAGACCCATACACAAGAGAATAAGGCGAAAAACCTGTAGCGCTTCTTGGAGAGGTGCGGTAAGCCCACAGGGCATCTGGAAGGTGGACGCTCCAACCTCCTTCGTACTCGTGTACCATTTTGCTCAAAATCCTCAATATGGTCTTGTTTGTGGCCTCAGCTTGACCATTTCCCTGTGGGTAATAAGGTGTGGAGCGGCGATGCTTGATACCGTCTTGTTTGTGGCCTCAGCTTGACCATTTCCCTGTGGGTAATAAGGTGTGGAGCGGCGATGCTTGATACCATAGCCGCTAAGCGTCGAGCTCACTTGTTTGTTGACAAAAGGGGTGCCATTGTCAGTGACCATTTTGTATGGAATTCCAAACCTGCACACGATATATTCCCGAATAAAATTTGAAATAGCAGCTCCCGTGGCCTTTCGAAGAGGGATCGCTTCAACCCACTTCGTGAAATATTCCGTGGCAGTGAGAATCCATATGTAACCGTCGGAAGGAGGATGGATCGTTCCAATTAAATCGAGCCCCCAAGTATGAAAAGGCCAAGGAGTGCGCATGTCCTGTAGCAATGTGGGAGGCTTGTGACTTAGGTTGGCATGAATTTGGCATGTGTGGCATCTTTTGACGAAGTCGTGCGCATCTTTCTTCATGGTAGGCCAATAATACCCAACACTCAGCAGCTGCCGGTGAAGCCTCTTCATTCCCTGGTGCTCTCCACACTCTCCAGCATGTATTTCTTGCATGACCTGACGTGCCTCTGACTCTCCCAAACATCTCAATGGTTCGCCATTAAACCCCTTACGGTAAAGCGTCGACCCGTCTACAAAATACCTTTTTACTGTCTTCTTGAGCTTGTAGGCAAGCTTGGGATTGGTTGGTAGAGTCCTTTCGACGAAAAATGCTAAGTAAAGAGCTCTCCAATCCTCTGCGAATGAAATAGTGAAAGATTCTTCGGTGGAGGGTATTGTAGAACACATGGGGCAATTAGATTGGATTTCAGCCGCTTGCTTCTTCATCTCTGGCCAGTAGTAGCCCTTGCGTTGCAGGCGCCTATACAAACTGACCACTGGCTCCAAGCTGCAGGTGGCGTCGTGAACTTCTTGCAACCTTCTTCGTGCTTCTGTTATTCCTATACACCGAGTCAAAATACCCCCCGGAAGGCGCCTGTATAGCTCTCCAAAGATGATCGTGTAATCTTTTAATTCTTTGATGTCGCTTCCCTTGCTCATCTTCTCCTTCACAGCTTTCCTCCAATCATCTTCTGCTTCCGGCAGCTCCTCCTGGAACATTGCTTCGACTACAGACACATCTTTCTTTATCACAGTGATGTTAGGCTGTTCTT